GTACTGCCTCAGGAAGATAAACGGTGTTCCATGCAGTCACGCCAGCCACATGACCTTGGAGGTGTCTACGGACAATGCAGGCTCTTCACTATTTATTTATTGTGTCAGGAGCAAACCAAACAGTTGTACTGAATTCTTTAACAAACAAACATACAAAATACACAGAGTTTGCAAGCTTGGTAGTTGATTAAATGTCCTTTGACCAGTATCTGGCCACTTGGAGTGCCTCTGGTGTTGTACAGAGGAAGAATTGTTGTAGGCTACAGACAATGCCATTCCAGTTGCCCCGCATCGAGTCGTTCAGGAGATGCTAGCGGGGTACAAATAAAGTTTGTTTATTTATTTATTTATTTTATCGTGTCATCAGCAACCATACCATTGTGTTACAATTCTAACAGAACAAAACAAACACACAGATTAAAAAGAAAAAAAACACAGATTTTGCAAACTTGGTAGTTGGTTAAATGTCCTTTGACCAGTATCTGGCCACTTGGAGTGCCTCTGGTGTTGCCAAGAAGGTCCTCCATTGTGCATGTGGCAGGGCTCAGGGTGCATTGCAGCAGGTGGTCAGTGGTTTGTTCTTCTCACACTCGCATGTCGTGGATTCCACTTTGTAGCCCCATTTCTTAAGGTTGGCTCTGCATCTCGTGGTGCCAGAGCGCAGTCTGTTCAGCGCCTTCCAAGTCGCCCAGTCTTCTGTGTGCCCAGGGGGGAGTCTCTCATTTGGTATCAGCCATTGGTTGAGGTTCTGGGTTTGAGCCTGCCACTTTTGGACTCTCGTTTGCTGAGGTGTTCCAGCGAGTGTCTCTGTAGATCTTAGAAAACTATTTCTAGATTGAAGTCATTGACGTGCTGGCTGATACCGAAACAGGGGATGAGCTGAAGATATCACTGCCTTGGTCCTTGCATTATTGGCTGCTACTTCCCGGTGGATGTCAGGTATTGCAATACCGGCTAAGCAGTGTAGTTTCTCCAGTGGTGTATGGTGCAGACACCCCATGATAATGCGGCACGTCTCATTAAGAGCCACGTCTACTGTTTTAGCGTGGTGAGATGTGTTCCACACTGGGCATGCGTACTCAGCAGCAGAGTAGCACAGCGCAAAAGCAGATGTCTTCACTGTGAAATGAAATGGGGATAAGCACCACCCCCAGAGCTGGCGATGAAATGGGAAGCCTTTACCTTTATTTGTGTATTTTTGTGTGTCATTGTTTCTGGGCATTGAATGTTTGTCTTTGCGTCTGTATATGCTGGAATCTGCCTTGAGACTCCTTGGGAAGAAAGAGCGGAATACAAATAAAGTGATGTTGTTGTTGTTGTTGTTGTTGTTGTTGTTGTTGTTATTGGGAAGGCCTGGCCCTCGAGCATCTAACTGGAGATAAGCTGTGACCAACAGTGCTATGGATTTTGGAGAGGCACAAATGGACAGTGAAAGGGAGGAATTTGCCAAGAGGAAGGTGGTGCGTCAAGCAAACCTTGTCGGGACTACCTTCCATCTGGAAATGTATATCCTCATTGCGAAAGAAAGTGGTTGAGCACTGAATTTGGGCTCGAGCCCTCTTTGGTCCAGGAAGCCCACTGGGTGACTCTGGGCTAGTCACACTCTCTCAGCCTCAGAGCACAACCATGCTGGCAAGCCTCCTCTGAACAAACCTTGCAAAGAAATCCCCACCTTAGTCAAAAATTACTAAAAATCACCAACCAAGACAAATATTGGAGTTAACAACCCAGCCAGCCAAGAAAAGCTTTTCTTCACAAACCTGAAAAGGAATTTGGAAGAAAAGGCAAGGATTGCAAACACGGAGGTTTCCAGCCAAGGTGTTGAGAGGTTTCTTTGCTTCTCTCACAGCGAACGTCCATGCAAAGTGTGCCTCCCGCATGAGGAAATGAGCGCAGCGTAGGACGACAGACAAAAACTATGATTACGATACCTGTTTTTGCCGCCCCGTGGGGGTGCATTTACACCAGCCTTAATGGAAGGATTAGGGAGGCAATCAGCCTGGCGTTAATTAAAAAGGCAGGACACACACCGCTGCCTTGGGTTTACGCACTTGCTCAGCTGCTTGCTCTCATTATGCACCTCCAATTCAACTCTGATTCATAGCAACCCTATAAGGCAGCGGTTCTCAACCGGGGGGTCGCGATCCCCAGTGGGGTCGTTCAGCCATTTCTGAGGGGTCTCAGACTCCTCCTTTAACCCCCCACCCCCCACTCCGGAATGGCTTCCTGGCTTTTCTGAGGCTTTTTAGAGCTTCCAGTCAGAGGAGGCTTGGAGCCTCACAAAAACAGCAGCAGCTATGGCTCACGAGGAAAGCAAGAGAGAGAAGGTGGCAGCAGACCACCCTTCTGGCCTCCCAGCTCCTCCTCCCTGAGCCCGGTGACTTTTGAGAGGCACCTTCCCATCACCCCCAGCCGTCTCCGCCAATGCGGGGCAATGACCGGACGGTCATAGAATCATAGAATCCTAAAGTTGGAAGAGACCTCATGGGCCATCCAGTCCAACCCCATTCTGCCAAGAAGCAGGAATATTGCATTCAAAGCACCCCTGACAGATGGCCATCCAGCCTCTGCTTCAAAGCTTCCAAAGAAGGAGCCTCCACCACACTCCAGGGCAGAGAGTTCCACTGCTGAACGGCTCTCACAGTCAGGAAGTTCTTCCTCATGTTCAGATGGAATCTCCTCTCTTGTAGTTTGAAGCCATTGTTCCGCGTCCTAGTCTCCAAGGAAGCAGAAAACAAGCTTCCTCCCTCCTCCTTGTGGCTTCCTCTCACATATTTATACATGGCTATCATATCTCCCCCGGTGGCGCAGTGGGTTAAAGCACTGAGCTGCTGAGCTTGTTGATCGAAAGGTCGCAGGTTCGATTCCGGGGAGCGGCGTGAGCTTCCGCTGTCAGCCCTAGCTTCTGCCAACCTAGCAGTTCGAAAACATGCAAATGTGAGTAGATCAATAGGTACCGCTCCGGCGGGAAGGTAACGGCGCTCCATGCAGTCATGCCGGCAACATGACCTTGGAGGTGTCTACGGACAACGCTGGCTCTTCGGCTTAGAAATGGAGATGAGCACCACACCCCAGAGTCAGACATGACTGGACTTAATGTCAGGGGACTACCTTTACCTATCATATCTCCTCTCAGCCTTCTCTTCTTCAGGCTAAACATGCCCAGCTCCTTAAGCCGCTCCTCATAGGGCTTGTTCTCCAGACCCTTGATCATTTTAGTCGCCCTCCTCTGGACACATTCCAGCTTGTCAATATCTCTCTTGAACTGTGGTGCCCAGAATTGGACACAATATTCCAGGTGTGGTCTAACCAAGGCAGAATAGAGCATGGGGAGCATGACTTCCCTAGATCTAGACACTATGCTCCTCTTGATGCAGGCCAAAATCCCATTGGCTTTTTTTGCCGCCACATCACATCACATAACACTACCTCTGAGGATGCTTGCCATAGATGCAGGCGAAACATCAGGAGAGAATGCCTCTAGAGCATGGCCATATAGCCCCAAAAAACCTACAATAACCCATTCATAAAGATGTTGAACAAGACCGGGCCAAGGACAGAACTCTGCGGCACTCCACTCATCACTTCTTCCTCCTCCTCCTCTACTTCCTCTTCCTCCTGAACACAAAGAAAGATCACTGGCCAGATGTACTCCGAGGGCCACCTGCATCTTGTGGGTTGCATTTTACCCATCACTTTTATTACCTCTTTCATTCCACTGGGCACAACTGTGCCACCTTAGACCATCTAACAGATCGTCGTCTGTGTGCATTCAGAAGAAGACCTACAAGCCACTCTAAACACCTTCACAGAAGCATACGAGAAGCCCGGCCTGTCATTGAACATCGAAAAAACCAAAGTGCTCTTCCAGCAGTCACCAGGAAATCCCTCTCCAATTCCAGAAATACAGCTTAAAGGTGTAACATTAGAAAATGTTGACCATTTCCGCTCCCTTGGCAGCCAGCTCTCCACAAAAGTCAACATTGACACTGAAATTCAAAACCGCCTGAGCTCTGCGAGTGCAGCATTCTTCTGAATGAAGCAAAGAGTGTTTAAGGATTGGGACATCCATAGGGATACCGAGGGACCTGTTTATAAAGCTATTGTCCTCCCAACCCTGCTATACGCCTGCGAAACATGGACTGTCTACAGACGTCACATGCAACTCCTGGAACGATTCCATCAGCGCTGCCTCCGAAAAACCCTGCAAATCTCTTGGGACAACAGGCGGACAAATGTCAACATGCTGGAAGAAGGAAAGATCACCAGCATTGAAGTGATGGTCCTCCGCCATCAACTCCACTGGACTGGCCACGTTGTCTGGATGCCTGACTACCTTCTCCCAAATTGCTCTATTCTGAACTCAGGAACCAAAAATGAAAAGTTGGTGGGCAGGAAAAGAGATTTAAAGATGGGCTCAAAGCCAACCTTAAAAACTCTGGCATAGATACTGAGAACTGGGAATCCCTGGCCCTTGAGCGCTCCAGCTGGAGGTCAGCTGGAACCAGCACTGCTGTAGAATTTGAAGAGGCATGAATGGAGAGCGAAAGAGAGAAACGTGCTAAGAGGAAGGCGCGTCAAGCCCACCCTGACCAGGACCACCTTCCACCTGGAAACCAATGTCCTCACTGTGGAAGAAGATGCACGTCAGGAATTTGGCTCCACAGTGACCTACGTACCCACCAACAGAACACCGACCTTGGAGAACCATCATCCTCGGACTACAAGTGATTGCCTAAGTAAGTAAGTAAGTAAGTAAGTAAGTAAAGTAAGACCATCTAACACAGACATGGGCAAACTTTGGGTCTGCAGGTGCTTAAGCGGCTGAGGGGGAAAATGAAGGGGTCTAAGGCTGTTAGGAATTGTGGAAGTTGGGGTCCAAAACACCTGGAGAGGCAAAGTTTGCCCATGCCTAATCTAACAGTTTCCAACCTGCCATACTTGCTCTTCCTGGCAACTAGAGCCGCACATGCAAAGGAAGGGAGAAGAAGGAAGCCTACCTTGGTGCCATGGTAGAAGTCATCGATGCAGGTGGCATTCATGAAGGTCTGGTGGAAGTGAGTGCTGGTGTCGATTCCCCCTGGGATGACCAGCTTGCCCGTGGCGTCAATGACCTTGGCTCCACCGGGGATCATCAGCTCCCGGCCCACCTGCTGGATGATGCCGTTCTCGATGTAGACGTCAGCCTCCAGGGTGCAATCGTCGTTCACGACCTTCCCCCCTTTGATGAGGATCCGCATGGTGGCAGCGTTGGCAAGCATGGCTCTGAAAGAGGAGGCAGAGGAGGAGAGGAGTCAGCGGAGCCCAGGTGGATGAACCACATGCCCTGGGTTCCCCCACAAGAAGTCACCGTAAGCTCACAAATACTCACTGTGTTCCACTAAATGTGGATAGGAGAATGCCCTAGCCTAGAACAGTGATGTAAAATTTCCAGAACATTTTTGGAAAAATTGAAAAATGTTAACACATAATCAGGCTGTAGCACAGCTGGTTAATCACTAGCAGCAGTAAATCACTGCCGACCAGAAGGTGGCAAGTTCGAAACCCGAGTTGGGTTTGAACTCCCAACTGTTAATAGCTCAGCTTATTTTTCACCTTGTTGGAGCTCAGTCTCCAACAAGGCTGAGCTCCAACCCTGATTGTGTTTCAGGATCAGGGTGCTTTGGATGTGGGTAGTGATGTCCATGAGTTTCAAGATGGCAATGGTTTGGTCAATGAGACTGATGCAGAGAATGACCTGGAGACCCCGGTTCAAAGTATAGTTTCCCATAAGAATGTGTTGTGGCTGAGATGTTCCCTGATGATGGGGATGATGGGATTCAGATTCCTGGCCCTTTTTCTGTGCCTCAGATCTCTAGGCCTGCTTCTAGGTCTTTTTCTGAGGCTCTCACAGGCAGTGCAACAGAGTCAACACAGCGGATCTCAGGAGAAAAGAATTTTAACAAACGAGATAGCGAACAGGTGTGGAAGCTTTTGCCTCCTTCCCACACTGATACTGAAAGTGCAGAAAGCCTTGATAGTTACTTGACCCGGCAGGCTCGTCTTGATTTACGAGTCAGGCGGAGTTCTCGCCTGGCCTGCAGACGAGAAGCCAGCTCGGGCCAAGGTCATCGCAATGCTTTCATGTTGGTGAGAGCATAATGTTTTGATGTTAGAAAGGTATTTAGGCTTCTTGCAAACTAAGGGAAAGTGTCAGTTCAACGTAGCTTATTGGCCTGAAAACTTCATGGAATACCTTAGCTGGAAAGCAGCACGCTTGGGATTTCTTGTATTGTGATTCTTGGGGCAATTGTCTTTGCTTGTACCTTGGACTCTGTTTTGAACTTTGCCTATAGGATTGTGCCTCTTGTTTTTACCTGAAGATCTTTGGAACTATATTCTGGATTTTACTTGAATCTTTGGAACTTTGCGATGCTTATTCTTTATTTTGACTTGGTTTGTTTCCTCAATAAACTATAAACTACAGCTCTTGTGTGGTGGTGGTTGGAAGCAAGGTGAAGCTTACTCGGAGTTGCAACAGAATGTCCCTGAAGGGTGTGGGGATGATGGTGTACTCCTTGAATTGCTACCAGAGAGTTCCCAGGATTTGGGGCTTGAAAACAACTCAGCACCTACAGAAATTAATGAGCAAATAGATAGAAGGCAGGAGATTAGTCCAAACAGACAGGCCGAACAGTGTCTTCGGCATTCTGCCAGGCTCCGACAGAAAAAGATAAGGGAGTCTCAATTAAAGCGAAACCAATTTCTGAATGCGTGGAACAGCTTAATGAGGGGATAAAAGTTCCAAGTATGGGAAATGTAGCCAGATGAAGCATCATTTAGAATCAAATTAAGTTCTTGTCCTTATTTCATGGAAACATTGCTTGGAAGATTCATGCTTAAGTATTTCTTGTTTCATGATTTTGATTCCTTTATTTTATGAATGCATACTCATGCCTAGGATTAATGTTTCCTGTTTTTTTATTATTATTATATTAGAGAAGTGTGGACTTTGTTTTCATGGACTTTGCTGAACTGTACCCTGGACTATTTTGTTCCTGCTTATCTTCTTACCTAATTGGATTTACCTATTTCTTTCAAGTGCTTTCTAATTTGCTGCTTTTTAATTATCTTCAATAAAAGGATTGCTTTTACCTACAAAAAAGGAGGGAGCAAGCTTGTTTTCTGCTTCCCTGGAAACTAGGACGCAATGGAACAATGGCTTCAAACTACAAGAAAGAAGATTCCATCTGAACATGAGGAAGAACTTCCTGACTGTGAGAGCCATTCAGCAGTGGAACTCTCTGCCCCAGAGTGTGGTGGAGGCTCCTTCTTTGGAAGCTTTTAAACAGAAGCTGGATGGCCATCTGTCAGGGGTGATTTGAATGCAATATTCCTGCTTTTTGGCAGAATGGGGTTGGACTGGATGGCCCAGGAGGTCTCTTCCAACTCTTGGATTCTATGATTCTATGATTCTATTCAACGTGTGGTGTTTAGAACCAGAGGGCTTTTCCTGTCCTGGAGTGCAACACACCTAAGCAGTTCAAAAGCAGCTGAGCTGTGAGTAGAGAAATTAGGGACCGCCTAAAGCATGGAGGTTAATTTATGGCACCACAATAAATGCCAGAGATCAAAGAGGAAGGAGGAAATACTACAATTAAACACTCAGCATCATAGTGGATGAAACAACAGCTCCACCCTGTGGTTGGAATCAAGCAACCTCCAGGAGCCGAAGTTGGAAAAAATGCTGAATTACCTCTATCTGTCTGTATGTCTTGTATGTCTAAAAATGGTATTGAATGTTTGTTGTGTATGTGTGCATTGTGATCCACCCTAAGTCTCCTTGCGAGTGAGAAGGGCAGAAAATAAATACTGTAAGTAAGTAAATAAATATACACAGCACACTTGGAACACGGACAATTGATTGACTTTTGGCACATGACATGCAACATGCAAAACCTGTTTTGCATAAAATTATTATGAGAATCTGGCAAATAAACACATTTTTAAAAACCCCGAAATGATCAGCATTACTAAAACAAAGATAGATATCTACATAAAAACTCCAACCATCACCCAAGTCAAAAAAGAAGCACCATTAAAGCCTTGGCAGACCATGCAAAGAGAATCTGCGAAGCCCACCTCCTCCAAGATGGACTGAACCACCTCAACTGGGCTCTCCAGGCCATTGGAGACTCCACCTCAGACATGAGGAGAGCTGCAAGATGACCGAGAAGAAGCCACGAGAGTCAAGACCAAGATCCACCCAGAGAGAAAGTGTTCTTGCCATACATCAAAGGAACCACTGACCACAGAGGGAAGCTGATGAGGGAACACAACATACAAACTATCTACAGACCCACCAAGAAAATCCAACCAGTGCTCCGTTCAGCAAAGGACAAGAGGGGTCCTCTCACTTCTGCAGGAGTCTACCATTGTATCCCATGCAGCTGTGGACAAGAAGTCTCCAGAGGGACCACCCAACGCAGCAGCATTGCCCAACCACAAATCAAGGAACCAGAGAAGTCAGCCATAACACCTCATTTCGAAACTCCGGATGATCTCCCCCAGGGGCTTCATGTAGATGTTAAACAACATCGGGGACAGAATTCATCCCTGAGGGACCCCACACGACAATGGTTGTGGGGCCGAACAGGTGTCACCCAGTAACACCTTCTGGGACTGTCCCTCAAGAAAGGACTGGAAGCACTGCAAAGCAGTACCCCCAAGTCCCATGTCCTCGAGGCATCCCAGAAGGATACCATGGTCGACGGTATCAAATCACTTTCTGTTTTGTTGTCGGCTGATTTCCACAAGGTGTTTTCCAATAATTTCCTAATTTATAAGGGATGGAGGACTTGGGGACAGAAACCCAGGGAGACTGGGGATAAAAATCACTTGATGGTGTCTGAGCTGGACGCCATGTTAAATGCAGTCTCTGTGGATGTGACACGAGCACCTGCTTGTCCTATTTTGATGGATTCTTTTCAGTTTGTGAAACCCGAGGATGTGGACAAGATACTTGGAGGAATGAGGCCCACCACGTCCATCCTAGACCCCTGCCCATCCTGGCTTCTGAAGGAGGCCAGAGGGGGATTGGCTGAGTGGGTAACGGTGGTGGTTAATGCCTCCCTTCGGGAAGGTAAGATTCCAGCGTGCTTAAAACAAGCAATTATAAAACCGCTGTTGAAGAAACCATCATTGGACCCCACTAAATTTGACAACTTTCGGCCTGTTTCCAATCTCCCCTTTTTGGGCAAAGTCATGGAAAGCGTGGTGGCCTCACAACTCCAGGTATTCTTGAGAGACACGGATTTTCTGGATCCGGCACAGTCTGGTTTCAGACCGGGACATGGTACTGAGACGGTCTTGGTCGCCTTAGTGGATGATCTGCGCCGGGAGCTAGACAGGGGGAGTGTGTCCCTGTTGGTGCTCCTGGACCTCTCAGCGGCCTTCGATACCGTCGACCACGGTATCCTTCTGGGGCGCCTTGCGGAAATGGGTCTTGGGGGCACTGCTCTGCAGTGGCTCCAGTCATTTCTGGAGGGCCGTACCCAGAAGGTGTTATTGGGGGACTCCTGTTCAACTCCACAGCCTTTGACCTGTGGGGTTCCACAGGGTTCTATACTGTCCCCCATGCTGTTTAATATCTACATGAAGCCGCTGGGTGAGATCATCCGGAGTTTCGGGGTGCGGTGTCATCTGTACGCAGATGCTGTCCAACTCTGTCACTCCTTTCCACCTGCTACTAAGGAGGCTGTCGAGGTCCTGAACCGGTGCCTGGCCGCTGTAATGGTCTGGATGAGGGCGAACAAACTGAAATTAAATCCAGACAAGACAGAGGTACTCCTGGTCAGTCGCAAGGCCGAACAGGGTATAGGGTTACAGCCTGTGCTGGACGGGGTCGCACTCCCCTTGAAGGCGCAGGTTCGCAGCTTGGGTGTGACCCTGGATTCTTTGAGCCTGGATCCCCAGGTTTCAGCGGTGACCAGGGGCGCATTTGCACAGCTTAGGCTCGTGCGCCAGCTGCGCCCGTACCTTGGGAAGTCTGACTTGGCCACGGTGGTACACGCTCTGGTCACATCCCGCCTTGACTACTGCAACGCTCTCTACGTGGGGCTGCCCTTGAAGACGGCCCGGAAGCTTCAGCTAGTCCAGCGCGCGGCAGCCATGTTACTAACGGGAGCAGGACGCAGGGAGCACACAACGCCCTTGTTGTCCCAGCTCCACTGGCTGCCGATCTGCTACCGGGCCCAATTTAAGGTGCTGGTGTTATCCTACAAAGC